GTCTGAAGTAATTTAATAAGCAAACCCATTCAGGAGATCAGCAAATTGGACATTTCCTCTTGGCTGGGGTGGTGGTGGTATTTTTTTTTACATTGTAGTAAACTATTGCTGATGCACTATGTCACTTACAAAAATATTTAAAAATATGTATTCTTTGCCTGAACTGCAAGGAGAACATACCTATCCATTCTAAAGGAAATCAACCCTGAGTGCTCCCTGGAAGGACAGATCCTCAAGCTGAGGCTCCAGTACTTTGGCCATCTCATGAGAAGAGAAGACTCCCTGGAAAAGACCTTGATGTTGGGAAAGTGTGAAGGCAGGAGGAGAAGGGCATGACAGAGATGGTTGGACAGTGTCATCGAAGCTATCAACATGAATTTGGCCCAGCTCCGGGAGGCAGTGGAAGACAGGAGGGCCTGGCGTGCTCTGGTCCATGGGGTCACAAAGAGTCGGACACGACTAAACGACTAAACAACATTCTTTGTCTTGTCTTAACTGCCTCTAGCTGAATCTGTGGAATATTACTGAACAGAGTAGACACTCCTTCCTTGTAAGACTTGTAGTAAGTTTATGATTAATTAATAGAAAATAGAAGCAGAGGCAGTTTCCTAGGTATTCAAATTAGCATAAGTTGGAGAGAATAAGGATGTTCAGGAAAGTTGGTTGGCTTGCATCTTCAAGCAAATTCACCTAATTTACCGCACCAATAAAAAAACTGTACCTCTCTCCAACATGCATCCTGGTGAATTCTACCAGGGCATCATAAAATGGCTGCCTTCTAAACATTTTTTTCCTTTAAAGAAAACACAAAACAAACTGAAGAGTTAGATATATTTCATAGATTTTAAAGACTGGCTTTATGCTGGAAATGCCAGCAGTCCTCTGAACCTCTTGTGGAGAGCTCTTTCAGTAATTTTGAGGGAGTGATGGAGAACCAAAATGAAGGGATTCCCCCTCCCCCATTTTCTTTTCCAGGAGAAGTGTGATACTAAACATTTTCAGACTCAGGGGACAGGGAATTACTGGCAAATACTGTTTGGTTTGGTTTTTAACCACTCTAATGGGGCAGCCATTTTTTATTTCTCCACAATGCACCTGGAATGATGCCAAATCACAATACAGGACTAAACCCAGTGTTACTCCACCTAGAATAGAGCCATTGATATTAATGGGACTTGTCACCGATAGAGCACATTTGTCTCAGTAGGTCTACTCTAGTTGGGAGAAACATCGGATTAAGCCTTCTAACAAATGCTGCATTATTCATTTCAGTCCCAATGAAAACCAGCCCCACTAAGACTCACCCATTTTGCTGTTCTATTACTTTTCAGATTTGACTATTTACTTCATTCTGTTTTGTTTACTGTAGTTGTCATGTTGAATGTTCAACTGTTCTCCATCCACTGTTCTTTAGTCCACCCTAGAATATGTTTTGATGAAATGTCATGTAATGATGTCCTCAAAATAAGTGAATAGAATAGCTATTCTGCAGAGCTATTCTAGCCATCTCATACATCTGTTTGAGAGGTGTAAGGATGTGGTAGAGGTACTCTAAATTCAAGCAGATAGGAGTTTCTCAATGAAGGGTGAACAAATCCTGGGGACTCCCAGTTAGGCCATGGGTTGACAGTTGCTGGGCTTGAGAACTTCGCAGGTTGAGAACTAACTCCTACTGGACTGCTAGGAAGAAGGAAATGCTAGCTAAAAGACCGTATGGCAAGAAGCCCACCCATTTAGATCTCTCCTTGGTTCAGTGCAAGATAGCTAATATACCTAAGCCACACACTCGCGCACACACACACACACACACACACACACACACACACACACACACACACACACACACACACATGTGTACATGAACTGCATAGTGAACAAAAACATATTCTCTCCATTTGTGTTGGCTCTATTTTGTAAGCCCATTAAAATCCAGCATTTACGGAAGGCTCCTGAAGAAATCACAGAATGCAACAGCTGCAATATAATTTTGGATGGTAATCTAGCATTCACACACACACACACACACACACACACACACATGTGTACATGAACTGCATAGTGAACAAAAACATATTCTCTCCATTTGTGTTGGCTCTATTTTGTAAGCCCATTAAAATCCAGCATTTACGGAAGGCTCCTGAAGAAATCACAGAATGCAACAGCTGCAATATAATTTTGGATGGTAATCTAGCATTCACACACACACACACACACACACACATACACACAAACAGTGGGTGTTGGTGAGCTTTGTGTCTCAGGGATGGCATAGAGGGAAATTGATGCTGCTGACCTCTGATTTATATCATGAATAATCTTTAATTTTTTGAGATGTCACACAGTGACTTTTATACAGTAGTGACTCATCTTTCTAGCTAATTTTTTTTCCTTTTAATTTTTTTTTCTAAGTGCTTAATCCAAGAAACTCTGACTAAGTCAGTTCTGCCACGTCCCAAGTGTAGCAGGGATTCCTCACAGCGTTTGATGCAAAAAGAAACTAGTAATTCACCTCAGAAATAGGAAGGGGGGGGAAAGGCTGTTCGTGGGCTGATGCTCGATGCAATGATGACCTTGGCTGGGGCTCTGCAAACAAAATGGTCATGAAGCTGATGCCATTGCAGTAAACAGAAGCAGTGCCAACAAGGCAAAGCTTCAGGATCTCCTGGCACGGGAAACATCACTAGGCAGCAGTGTTATCCTCACAGGCCATATTTTCTAAAGGCAGTCTGGCAACCTATTGGCACCTTTTGATTTGACAATCCAGTTCTGTGTGTCAACTTGGTTTTCCACCGTTTCCCCCCCCCATCTGTAAATGTACTCAATGCAATGGTTGAATTGAATTCTAGTGGCCTATAATTAATAATAGGAATACATTTCTCAACACTTACTCATCATTCTAGCTAATACAGAAAATTTGGAGGTAGATGGCTATCAATGACAACCAGTTTCTTTGCTGGGAAGTATTAAAATTATTGCAAATGTGCATGCACACATGTGTGTAGGAGCAGTAGTAGTCATAGTAGTAGCCATAATACTATCACCTATTACAGTAGGCCTGCCTTATTCACGGGATCAGTATCCAATGATTCACTTATCCACAGTCTGAAAATATGAAAAATTTTGAAAGAAAGAAAAAATCCAAAAAAACCTATCTATATGTATTACCAGAACTCACCACTAGAGGGAGAGAGGGACAATCCTATGAATACTTGTTAGTGAAGAATACATAGCATGGTCTCTGGCACCCTCTTCTGGCCAGTTCTGGTAATACATGTGAAAATAGTTTCTGTTTTTCTTTTTCTTTTTCCCATGCTACATATATAACTTAAGATGATCACACTATAACATAGAATCAGAATTGTAGAAAAGTGAAGTTGGAAGGGGCCTTCAAGGCCATCAAGTCCAACCCCCTGTTCAATGCAGGAATACAATCAAAACATATCTACCAGGTGATTATCTAAGTTTTTCTTGAATGCTCCAGTCTTGGTGCACTCACCAACACCCGAGGTAACTAGTTTCACTGTCGTACTGCTCTAACAATCTCATTCCTGCATCTTGTTACTGAGGTAAAATAGATGTATTACAGCACCAAAATGCAAACAAACAGAAGGAACAGAAAACAGTGGGAAAAGAGATGTTTTCTGATTGCCAAAGTAAATATAATAGCCACATTAACTAGAAGTTACTACTAAAGAACAATTCAGAAGGCATCAAACACATAGGAAAGCATTCCATGAGTCAACCAAAGAATGTTATACTAGAAATCATGTATAATTCTGGTCACTGCACTTCAACAAGGATATTGCAAAGCTGGAAGATGGTTGGTAGCCAAGGGCAACCAGAATGATCAATGGACTGGAACAACTCCTTTATAAGAAATTTCACAACATTTTGAGCTATTAAGTTTAGGAAAAAGACAAATAATGAGGGGCATGATATGAGCTATAAAATTTGTACATGGTGTGGAGAAAGCAATGGAGAAAAAAAAAGATGAAGTTCTTCTTCACAAAGGCTCAGTAAAAACTGAAGAAATCCCACCACAGGATGGTGGGTGGGGGCACCAACCTGGGTAGCTTCAAAGTGAGATATTGACCAAATTCATTACAGACAAAGCTATCACTGGCTGATTATATTAAACATAATAACAGGAAACTGGCATCCTCCTTAAGAAACTTCATTCAAGTCATAATCACTGGATCTTCCTCACCTCTCCACAACTCCTCTCTGCCTATCATCATCTATTTTGTATCTTAAAGATAGGAAAAAAGAAGGAACCTCCCTGAAGAGTGAAAAAGCATTGTGAATATGCTCAGATGTCCTCTGGGCAATGGGCGTACAACTGGCCAAACCTTCACTTCTAGAAACATTGCACTGCAAACTTGCTGATGAACAAAATGACCCAGCAGCCCTTTTAGGACCACAAATGACAGCAATTTCTAAAATTTTATTTTATTTTTAATTTTTTCCTATATTTCATATGTATCCATAATTTTAAATTATGCAATACTTTGATACAAATCAAGAAGGAAGGAAGAACCTTAGAAACAAGGTCATTCTGAATTTTGTTTCTGTCTTCTAGGGTATTAGCTATTTTGCCCAATTTGGTTATCATCTGCAAATTTGACAAGCATTCCCTGCATTTCCTCATCCAAGTCATTAATAAAAATATTAAAGAGCACTGGGTCCAGGACTGAGCCATGGGGTACCCCACTAGTTACCCTCCCAGTTAGAGAAGGACCCATTAATCATCACCCTCTGAATACGGTTCTGTAGCCAATTTTCTTTGAGGGGGAAATCCATTTTGTGCATATTCTTTGTGAGGTAAGGCAGCAAAGTGATGCACGTCAGTGTCCCAGTCTCATTCTGTCATGGTTCTCAGCTCCTTTTCACCCCCCACTTGAGATAATGGTACATTCCAGGCGTAGGAGCATAGAGGAAGTAGCCTTTTCAAGTGTGGAGGGTTTGTTTGACAATGTGCAGTTTGTTTGCTGAGGGAACAAGTCTGACTTGCTTGAGATAATTATGCCCTGTACAAAAACATGCGGAAAGTAACACCGCATGACTGAGCACTTTAGCCCTAGACAAGACTGCAACTTCTTTCTGTAAGCTTCCGGGGTTGTAATGCCGCTGGCAACAGTTTCGAAAGAGATTCCCCTTGTTCTGTTTGTTTATTTATTTATTTATTTATTCAATTTATACCCCGCGCATCTAGACTGAAGTCTACTCTGGGCGGCTTTTCTTATTGCTTTTCTTTGAGAAAAGCTGGTATGCAGGCAAACTAAAAGATCTGGCAGGTGCTCCTAAACATTTGCCTTTCCTGTGAAGAAGGGGAGCTCTCTCCTTGTTTCGATGAGTATGGCCCTCCCTTGTTCCTCCTGCTGCTGCTGCTGTCCCTGGATCTCATTTCCTTCGAGAGAGGTAAGAGACCAACTACTATGCTGTAAGGGGAGAAGGTGACACAAAAAAATGCCCAAATATCTCATTTTAAACATAATCCAAATAGTAAAAGAAACTTGAAGAACCTAGTCTGGGACAGAAAAGTCAAGTAGGCAGGTGCCCTGTTCATTTCTATAATGGTTAGAGGAATCTGGACTGGAAATAGGTCATAGTATAGGAATGCCATGTACCCTGTTAATATTCCACCATTATTGCACAGCAGGGAGAAATGTAGGCTTGGGTGGTTTACTTATGCTTTATGTGACAGGCTGAAGTAGTGTGTTCACATGGTGTTTAGCCTTGATAAAAGAAGACTGAGGGGAGATATGATATCATTTTTCAAATACTTGAAAGATTGATGCATTAATTTGTTCCTATATTTTAAATTGTTTATTTTATATGTTGTTAGCCGGCCAGAGTAGTCAATTGACTAAATGGGCAGGGTATAAATTCAATCAATCAATCAGTCCATGAATCAATCAATCAATCAATCAATAGTCATACTGAGGAGGGGCAGGATCTGTTCTTGCTCATCCCAGAGTTCAGGACAAGCAATAATGGGCTCACGCTACACGAAGCCAGATTTAGTCTGAGTATAAGGAAAATATCTTAACTGTTAGAATAGTAAGACAGTTGAACAAATTACCTTGGGAGGCGGTGAGTGCTCCAACACTGGAGGCATTCAAGAGAAAATTGGACAACGATCTGTCAGATCTGCTTTCTGGATTCCTGATTTGAGCAGGGGGTTGGACGGTCTTATTGGCCCCGTCCAACTTAACTATTCTATTGTTCTATATTGTTTTTTTGGTGATCATACTCTGATTCTTAAAGATCTTTCTACAACTTTCCAGCAGCAGTTCTAATAGTAGCGGTGGTGGGTTTTTTTAAGCTGAAATGCTAGGGTGCAAGCTTACTCAGATTTTATTTTCCTAGGACTGAGGCTACTGGAGAGTTATAACCTTTTTAAATGTATCTCTGTATTCTCTCTGTGTTCTCTCTTTCTCATGGAGAGAGACAGAGGACAACACTAAGTGCAAATTCACATAGCAGAATTCTGTTTTCACATTAGGTCTTGCTGAAAGGAGGATGCGCTTTGGAAAATACTTCCAGAATACCAGCGAAACTGTATCCCCATCACACTGGTCTGGCCTTGTAAAAAGAACTGCCCACATTTGTAATTTTTGCAGACATTTAATTAGTAGATCCCTTGGGGAACAGGTGGGAAGGTGGAGATAAGTGTTCTTCAAATATCTGCCAGTCTTTAAAAGTCACTTAATAGCCACTGGCCAAATGCAATGGGGCAGCCTAAACCAATTCAAGGAATGCTGACATTGCTCAAATTAATACTAAAGATATAAAGGTCATAACGTTGGTGGAGCCAGAGACATGGGGTGGGTACAAAACTAAATGGGCCAAACCAGATGGAAATCTTAGCGGCTTTCTCAACATAGCAGTGCGGAGGCCTATGAAACCTTTCCAGTATGTAAACCAGAGCTCCTGTTCTGTTAACCTAAAACCACTAATATTGTAACACTTAAAGCGGAATCCAGATGTTTTCTTTATCATTTTTTTTTACATATTCATTTGCAATTCAAGGCTTCTCAGTCACTTCACAATGTGACCAGTAAATCTCATTCCTTCCCTTGACTGCCCTGATTCAGTTATCTAGTTCCCATGGCAACTGTACCTCTTGACCATTTATACCTTTTGGAATTACCAGAAAGCAGCTGAAAAAACTCACTCAGACCATAATTGAGGAAAGTGCTTGCCAGCGCTGGGAATACTATTTTAAAAGAACTGGTGACAATTATTATTACTCACATTCCAGAAAATACAGGGAAGTCCTCTGTGGTTCCTTCTACTGACCACTTCTAATATTGCACATTTAAAATACCCAAGTACAAAAGAGGAAAGAAAACAATGCTGTTGTTAGTATGTGGAACTCCTTGCCACAGGATTTAGTGATGGCATCTGTACTACATGCCTTTAAAAGGGGATTGGACAGATTTCTGGAGGAAAAGTCCATCGCAGGTTACAAGCCATAATGGGGATGTAGAATATCCAGGCTTAAAATGAAGGTACCTCCAAATGCCAGATGCAGGGGAAGGGGTATCAGGAGACAGGTCTCTAGTTGTCTCGTGTGCTCCCAGAGGCATCTGGTGGGCCCACAGTGAGATACAGGAAGCTGGACTAGATGGGCCCTTGGCCTGATCCAGCAGGGCTCTTCTTATGTTCTTATGTAATGCTTCAATTGCCAGTTAAAAGTGATAAGATAAAGCCATAAAACTTTAAAACGTTCAGTCAAAATGCCTTAAAATGCTCTTATAACTGAAATGTTTTATCCCCTCCAAGTCATTTAGGATGTTTGTCAATGCTGCTCTTCTGAGATTGTTTAACCATGAAACCCTCTCTGTGGATTCAGCCCCTCTAAAATCAAGAGTATAGATATTTCATATCAATTAAGCAGGGAAGAATTTTTAAAAAGCGTGGTGCTTATATACCGCCCCACAGTGCTTCAAGCACTCTCTGGGCAGTTTACAAGTTAATTGTGCAGGCTACACATTGTCCCCCCCCCCAGCAAGTTGGGTACTCATTTTACCGACCTCGGGAGGATAGAAGGCTGTGTCAACCTTGAGCCGGCTACGTGGGATTGAACCCCAGGTCGTGAGCACAGTTTGGCTGCAGTACAGCAGTTTAACCACTGCGCCACGAGGCTCTTCTAAATAAAGGGGCCCGCCCCAGGTCGTGAGCACAGTTTGGCTGCAGTACAGCAGTTTAACCACTGTGCCATGAGGCTCTTCTAAATAAAGGGGCCCATTGTAACAGGAGATGGGAATATATGGCCTTTCAGAGGTTGCCATCAATCCTTAGCCAACACTGCAGGAGGAAGGATGTCTAACAACATCCGCGAGGCTATATTAGTTGTCCACTTGTGCATTTTAAGGCAGTTTGAGAGAATCATAGAGCACAGAGCAGGCCAGATGTACATCATCACAGAATATAAGTGCTCCTACCTCAGCAGTTAATTTTCACAGGATCAAGAGATGGTTGTCTGTTATCTTCACGACTTCTCACTAAAGCATAAATGTACATATTTATAGAACATTGTGTGTATTTTTACTTCATGCACCTTCTTTGTCTACCTTACTTTTAAGTTGCCACACTCCCTATAGGTATTACTTTTTTTTACAGTTTTTAAAATTAGAACTCTTCCAAGCCCTTGTTAAATGCCTTCATTAACTTTGGCACCACTAGTTTACTTTCATAGTATTTTGAGAGAGAAAGAGAGAGAAGTTTCCTTGGTGGAAATTGTTTGTTGTTTAGTCTTTAAGTCGTGTTTGACTCTTCATGACCCCATGGACCAGAGCACACTAGGCCCTCCTGACTTCCACAGCCTCCCAGAGTTGGATCAAATTCATATTGGTAGCTTTGGTGACACTGTCCATCCATCTCATCCTCTGTTGTCCCCTTCTCCTCTTGCCTTCACACTTTCCCAGGAGTCTTCTCTTCTCATGAGATGGCCAAAGTATTGGAACCACAGCTTCAGGATCTGTCCTTCCAGTGAACACTCAGGTTGATTTCTCTCAGAAATGGATAGGTTTGTTCTCCTTGCAGTCCAGGGGACTCTCAAGAGTCTCCTCCAGCATCAGAATTCAAAAGCATCAATTCGTCAGCAGTCAGCCTTCTTTATGGCCCAGCTCTCACTTCCATACATCACAATTGGAAAAACCATAGCTTTGACTATGTGGACCTTTGTCGGCAAGGTGATGTCTCTGCTTTTTAAGATGCTATCTAGGTTTGTTATCACTTTCCTCCCAAGAAGCAGGCATATTTTAATTTAATGGCTGCTGTCAACATCTGCAGTGATCATGGAGCCCAAGAATGTAAAATCTGTCACTGCATCCATATCTTCCCCTTGTGTTTGCCAGGAGGTGATGGGGCCGGTGGCCATGATCTCAGTTTTTTTGATGTTGAGCTTCAGACCATTTTTGGCACTCTCCTCTTTCACCCTCAATAAGAGGTTCTTGAATTCCTCCTGACTTTCTGCCATCAGAGTGGTATCATCTCCATATCGGAAGTTGTTG